TTTGAAAAATCGACTTCATCTAATTTTCTACAATACATTTTGAACATGCAACATTTCTCCGCGAGACTCTATTCTACAGATTTCAACAAGAAACCTTATCGCCATATTATTTCGCAAGAAAGAGAAACTTCGTGGTCCAGTTATTCATCGTTTGCATTGTTAGTTCTTCCATCTTCTATGTTACTTAAAAAAAACAAGAAGAGAAGCATTTCTTTGTTTTTTTCAACATGCTGCATAGTAATTCTCTTTTAGGAAGGTTTAAAGTGACCTTACTCCATTTTTCTGTTTTTGTCTCTTTCTGAGAACTAAATTTATTTCAAGTATTTTTTTTGTTCGTTGTTACTCTCTGATGCGCATGTATGTATTATAAAACGACGTTCACTGTTGCAAGCTACAAATCGGAGTAACCAATTATGCATCATGTTTACATTGCTTGCTCTTTATTATACATATACAAATAAAATGGAAGAACGAGACAAAAATAGTCATGCAATCATAAAACAAAAAATACGCAAAAGCATGTGATAGTCATTTATTTGCTTAGGACAAAAAAACTATGTAGGTGCAGTTTATTTTAAGCCCTTCACACTTAACTTTTTTTTTTAATAGTGAGTCATCGTTCTCTTTTGACGCAGATCGAAACAATCAACAATCTATTAAAGTGAATTAAGTTTCCTCAAGCATCCATACTAAATAACAATAGTCTTCACTCATCATCATACATTAGTGCTCCAAAAACTACTGATCTTACAGCACAAATTCAAATACTTTCTGCTCAATCTACTTTTGCATGAATAATCTTTCCTTATCTATCTTATTGTCATCCATTACAGAAATATTAACTTTTATAGAGCATCGTTTATCGCCTTGAAAATTTCAGCATTGTCTACTGAATAGGAGTGTCAATTCATATTTGTTTTTAATTTAATTTGTTCGTAACTTAAATTATCAGTAGTCTAAATTTGAAATAAATATAAATTTTTTTTTCATAATTTATATTTCAGAATAAATATTAATTATTTGATTCTCGTAATTTAATAAATCTATTGGAAGCAGATTGACTTATCTCTTGATGAAAAAGATAAGTTCAATCTGCTACTTTCAACTCTTGCTTTTCAACAATCAACTTAGTCGAAAATTAAATAACAATAGATATAAAATAAATGCGCTTTGATTACAATAATTAAAGAAATGCAGAGTTAATGTTGCCGATGCGTTTCATGTTATTTAAAAATATAAACACTCACCACAGCTCTTCATGACATTCTTTTCGAACACAGAGAAAAACAGATATGAAAAGAAAAAAGAAACGAGAAAAGTCATATTGAAATCTGATTCGAACTTCATTTATTTAAATCCATAATGAAATTGAAATTATAAATGCAGCTAAATGTATTCATGGTGGTGAACTTCTTTTTTTTTTAATTTTATTATTTTTTAATAATCGTGATATTTCGAAATTCATTTTATCGAATGTCATCGTCAGACGAAAGATGAAAAAGAAAAGACAGAAAACTAATGAAAAAAATGAGGATTTTGTTTTTGATGTTCAAGTTCATCCAAGTTGAACCTCGAATTAGATTTAAATATGACTACAATAACTGAAGCATTAAAATTGGGTTCTAGTATTATCTTTACATAAAAATATGATTATTAGCATTTATGTATTAAAGATCAACATCAAGTCATAGATCAAAATGAACGTTAGGTTATGTTTTAAGACCAAAATCAGGTTGTGATAATGATGTCAGTAACAAAGTTCTATCAAAAAGAAGAAATACTGTTACAAAATCAATTAGCATCATCTAAACTCGTAGCATTCGATTATAATGCTTAAAATAAAAATAAAATAAATATATTAGCTACAGGTCAAAAATTTTTCTGTCTTTTCTTTTCCATCTTTAGTCTGACGACGATGTTAGATGAAATGAATGTCGAGATATCACGATTGTTAAAAAAATAAAAGAAAAAAAAGACATGCACCATCATGAATACATTTAGCTGCATTTACAATTTTTATTCCATTATAAACAAGAAAAGTATGTTAAAAAAAGGAGGCAAAAACCAGATAATACGGAAGAGTTCTGAAATGTAAAAACGAATTGATATAATATTAAAAAAGACAAGAAATTTGCATTTGAAAATTTAGACTAAGATCTTCACAGAAAAGGAAAACGTATTCTGATGTGTTATATCCGACATCTATATTGTCATTTATTTTTTCTCCTTTCTAGCGTTTCTCTCTTTTCCTTGTTATACCAGGTGATATATATATGTGATATACACTCGACTAGTCAGATCATGTTTTTTTAAAAGTTATGATTCTCCTAGGAAAAATAAATAAATAAATAAATGACAATATAGATGTCGGATATAACATCCTTCTCAGACAAGGAAAAAATGTTTTTTGGTTACAAAAACACTTGTTTTTTTTAACAAAAAAAAGATCTGACAATATTACATACAGAATAACAGAAAAAAAACAAAAAGCAACAAAAAAAATAATGTTCATATTAAACTTGAGAGAGACGCTGAAATGCGTAATAGTTGTGTCGATTAAATATGTTGATTGGTAATTTTGGTTCATTTTGATCTTTCATTTTATAATTTTTAACACCAATAATTAATAATTTTTGTTTGATTTTTGTATGTATATATAAGATATTATACTAGCGAAGAATTTTTCGGATTGACTTCATTGTAAATCGTGAATAAACTGGATGGGTCATAACATATCGAAATCTTCGTCGTCGAAATACATCATTTCTTTTACGATTTCTTCTTCTTCTTCTTGTTTCAGCTGATCTATTTTGATGACGTGATTTATACTTCACCGAGTCAGATTGATCATTATTTTTGTTTTCATCGACCATAGAGTAGTTGTTGACACATAAATCATTATCATTTGATGGTAATGCTGGATTTGGTTCATTATCATCATTTAATATTGCTTCATATAATGATTCATTATTATTTATTGGTAACGCTTTATTTAATTCATTATCATCATTTGCAATTTCTTCATATAACATATCATTATTAATAGTAATTTTAATACATTGATTAACTGTTATTTCATCATCATTATTATCATCATCGAAGATTAATTCAATATCATCATTAATATTCTTAATTATTTGTTGATTAATATTTGTATTTGCTGAGTTGTTATTCGCTCGTGATGATGATGGTAATGCCTGAAATGAATCAAGAATATGAATTTTCTTTACCTGTTGAAATGTCCAATATAATGTAATAGGTCGAATTAAACATGTTGTTGCAAAACAATCATATATTGCGTAATGTATCATTTTATTTCTTTTTGATGTTGATAAGGTTGAGTGCATTGGATCTAATTCCATTGCCCATTCATTAACAGTAATTGACTTGTCAACAAATATTCCATATGTATAAATTAAAGCTTGTTGTAATGCTTATGGTTCATTAGGACGATAAGGACTTGGTTTATGACAAGTACATTTTGATAATAAATTCATTTGTTCACCAGAATTAATATCATTAATTCATTATATTGAACGGGGGCAAACTATCGACCATCAACGTTATATTGATTATTGTTTAAAACCGCTCATTCACAACATCAGAGAGCAAAGGCCTTCATGTGGTGTTCAAGGTATTAAACTTCATTATGATAACGGGCGACCACATGTTCAGAAAGATGTGTCGAATTATCTCGAATCTAAAGGTATCACAATAATTCAACATCCACCTTATTCTCCCGATTTATCACCATGCGATTTTTGGTTATTCGACTTAATCAAACAAAATCTGACCGATCAAAATAATTCAGAATCATTGTATCGTGCTGTATCCAACTGCATGAACTCTTTAAATAAAGAAGAATATAGAAAAACATTTGATAAATGGATTCAACGAATGCAATTGTGTGTGGAAAACAATGGCGATTACTTTGAACATTTGATAAAATAAAAACTTGAAAAGAATAAAAAGAATAATAAGAAGATGATATATATTGAAAAAATAAATTGTGATCGAGTACAACCAGCACATATCCTGCCAAAATGAGTTTTATAGATAATTTAATATTATGATATTAGTCGAAGTATGATCAAATAGCATAGAAAGATAGAGCTTTTTTTTCTCTATCAAACTATATATAAGGAAAGTTTCTTTGAGCGCACTATAAGGGAATAAAGTGTCATTGCCACTACTTTTGGTATGCCCTAAGTACAAGTTAATTGTCCATAAAATCGATGGAGAATTGCGAAGTGGTTGGACTCTCAATCACAAATCAAAATTTCAAAGATTTTAATCCAATTTCGGTCAAGTTCATCCAAGAAGAAATCTGTTTTTCGTGCAGAATCACGATTTCTCAGCACCCTCTGCTGAGGGATATTAACTGATGTGTGTGATAAGGAATTTTGTGTCGACCTCAATAAGAGACGTGTGTGTATATGTATATTTATGCAAAATCTCGAAAAATTCAAGTCAAAATTATCAATTCACACAACTTTTTTTCTCACAGAATATTTTTCTCCATGTTGAAACAATTGCTCAGAACGTTACCTCCAATTGTTAAAACCTATTTTGAAACGATTTTAGTCTTTGGGAAGAAATTTTTCGAGATTACGCATCACTATAAATGTACACACACGTCTCTCTTATTGAGGACGCCACAAACGGAAATCTTTATTACACACATATCAGCACATATCTCTCTGATGAGGATACTCTGAAATCGTGATTCTACATGAAAAATACATTGCTGAATGGACAAATCGTAAATGAGAAATTTGAAGACTTTTATCCAAATTCAGTGAAGCTCGCTAACTAAGAAATGTGTTTTGTGTGTGGAATTACGATTTCCAAGTACCCTCAGCTAGAGAAACATGTGCTGATGCATGGATGATAAAGATTTCCGTGGCATCCTCAATAAGAGAGACGTGCGTATTCTTTTCTTTTATCTCAAAATGGTCATCTGGCTTTATTCAAATTCTCTTTTTGTAAATCCGATAGAATTCCCTGGTAAGTGTTCATAACGCTTGTATTATTATTTTCATCCACGTCATTATGGTCAACTACCTTTTTTCAGATTCGCTTTTTTTTTAAATCCCAAAAGATTCTCTGGAAAAAGTATTCCTAATACTTGTATTATTATTTTCTTCTATCTCAAATTGGTCATCTACTTTCTTCACATTTCTGTTTCAAAATGCGACAGGATCCAGCAGGAAAAAGTTCACAATTCTTGTTTCGTCATTTGCACATATATCCAGGGCTATGTGGAAGAGCAGGTTCGTTCTTTATTTTACCTTGGTGCTGCTAATTTTGTTTCAGCTGGTGTTTGAATAGACAACTTGAGTACTAATATGGGAAATGCCCAGTTTTTTTCCACCAGTTTATTAGGCTTTTCAATTGTCAACTGTAGTTGATAAGTCATATAATCAAGGTAGGGCAGAATAGAGAAAGAATAACTGTCTTATGACAATTTTAGAGCAGCAGTTCGCATTATAAAAACATCGTTTTCGCATGATTAAAATTCGATCACTCAAAATTTTGACTATTTTGGAAGCAAAAAGTGCTGCTATAAAAAACGGTATTATGTAAATGGTGAGCTTTTCATGCTGCATCTTGTGGTCTATTTTGTATATTTTAATACAATATATTAAGTGAATGAAAATTGAAATGCAAAGTGCGACCATTATACCTGGCGTACCCGTTATAAGATCTTGTCAAATCATAGACGGAATAATCATATTTGAATCTCCTTGATAAATAATAAATTCAATTGATTAATTGATACTTGCATTAATAAGAAGATCATTACTATTTTGATTAAGTGTTCAAAACGAAATTGATCTTGAAAAATTTATATTTGCTTATGATTGAGAATTGCCAACCGAAGCAAGTGGCTGTATTATTGACTATTAAAAAGAACAATATTTTGAAAGCGATCTAAGGAAAACTTATTCGAAGAGAAATTGTTTCTATTTTCTTTTTATTCGAATAAAAATTTGATGGAATATAAATTTTAGCATTTTCAATTTGTTCAATAATTTTATTTGATAAAGATTCAATTGATGTTTTCTTTCCATTGAAAGAAAAACAGATGCTGTATATATTATCAGATTCTGACCAATATTTAAATGAATATTAAGTGCAACAGTACTTTATAAAAATAAAGAATTATCTATTTATATATGTTTCTCATCATTTGTTTTTGATAGTATCGATTTCGACCCTGTTGGATTGTTTCTCATGAAAAAAACACATCCATCAGCAAATAATCCTGTTTAATTATACATATTCATAATAAATGAAAGAAAGAAGTTTATATTGATGTGTCCATTCAAACTCGAGATATTTATATCATAATCATAAAGAAAAGCATTTGTATGAGTCAAATCTAAACCAAGAATACTTCCACAATCTTGTAAACATCTATTTCCAGTCTTTGAAAATAATAAATATTTATCTCTTATAGAGTCAGATGGGGTAAATGTATAGAAAAAATCAATCATGTCTTTTAGAACTTATATAACTTTTTCATCTTTCAATATTTTAAAAAGTTTTCTTCACAAACCATGTAGAGAAATCTTTTCTCTCTCGATCTATGAAATCAGTTTTCCAAAATCTAGTCGTGTAACGTAGTGGTGATGATTTTTCAGAGACCACCATCAGCATTATACATTTACCGCACATGGTGTAAATGTATAATTATGCGGATGTACGGGAGGCAAATGTATAATCTCAGCTATTTTTAGCTTAATCAGAAAAAATAAGTTTATAAGCGTTCGATTTGTTCTTTTGTGCAAATTTTTTCATCAATGGATACATCAAGATCTTCTCTATGACCTGAGAGTATTTGAAATGTTTTTATAAAAAATCCAGATTCCCAGCAAATCTTTTTCGAAGAATTGTATAAAAAGAACTAGCAGCCACTATCGCGATTTCACGTCCCGCTACGAGCGATCATCAGGTAGTATTGTTCTATTCCATCATAACGCTAAGGGCTGCGACAAAAACCGATGTTCAACGACTAGTTAGAGAACTAGAAGAGAACCGGTGTTATGATGCATGATTGCAAATCGAACTAGCAGCCATTATCATGATTTCACGCCCCGCTACGAGCGATCATTAGGTGGCATCGTAGCCTTTTGGATTATGATGAAATTGAACAATGCCACTTGATGATCGCTCGTAGCGGGGCGTAAAATCGCGATAGCGGCTGCTAGTTCTAGAAAGATGTCTACTCATGTTCTTGTTTCAAAATGCAAATTGACACAAAAAATATTTTACATAAACTGTTTTTAAATGGATTTTCGCCGAAATAGCATTTACATAGGAGAAAAAAGAAAAAAACCCAACGAAAAGAAAATGGAATACACATTGTGCCCTTATGCATCTGCTGTAATATTATTGTTCTTGACTCACATATGTAGTTTCATCGATGAGAAAAAAAACATGTTATTTTTTTCGTGTCATCTGAATCATTAGAAATCATCAACAAGAATCATATTTATTCATTGTACACGTAGATGGGTATTTTCTCTTCACAACGAAAGTAATATAAAAGTGGTAAGATTCACGTACATTCGTTAATTTCAAACATTGTCATCCAACGAGATTCTAAATGTAAGTAATACAATAGAGCTTTTTCTTCTTTATAAATTCTGGGGCTTCTTTTCTTATTATGAATCTTCGCTTACCAAGGAGATTCAGCTGCAAGTTCGCATTTTGATCGGGTGGAACTCTTTAGTCTTCTCTCTATATGCTTAGGACTGTAGACCGAGATATGGCTCATTGTTAATTTCGAACTCTCAAGTTTTGTTCCCAATGGCTGAGAGTCTTCGACTTTTTCTGGCTTTCACTGGCGATATTTCGAGCTTTTCAATGCCTTGTTTTAAAATTTTCTTGATCTAGAGATATTTTCAAATGGAAAAGTACAAAAAAACTCTGATGGAGAATTTGTTGATAAGACAGCAGAGCAAATTCATTTGAACCACACCGTTTCATACAAAAAACATTTTCACGAGCAATAGAACCTACTATTACTTGTAAAGAGTTTTCTTTTCAGTGGTGATCAATGCCTTTAAATCCTCATAAATGATGCACAATTTGAGATAAGATCAAAATACTTTTATGTTTATTACAGTACCACCTATCACATTTCTCAGAAAAAGGAGCCGATATGTCTGAATGATTATGTTGTTTGACACATATCACAGGATACTGTGTTCGAACCTCAGCGCTACCAAATATACTAGGTAGGAAATAATATTTTTCCAGGAGTATCGCTATGATTTGGAATACATTAACCAATGAAGTTTATATCAAATGAAAGCTCGTGAAAAATGGAGTTTATTGATACTAAATAGTAAGGGTTATCAAAACCTTTTAATGTCGAACTTAAGAAATTTTCAGAAATTTTATACTTTTTTCCTATAGAAAAATCGAGGTACCAGTATTCAAAAATAGATTAAAATATTTTCTATTGATATTTTTACATGGTTCGATAGAGCTCGTCGAGTTCTACAAAACTGTATAAAGGGTGTTTCATAATAACTGACGATAAATTGTTAATGATATTTTTCATATTTTTTCTCGATGTAGAAGGCTGAAATTTTTATCATATACATATCTAATGAAGATCTTTTATTTCTGAAAGTTTCAGCTCTCTAGCTAAAACTGGTGGTGAAATGCATCGAGAAGATTGAAATACATAAATTTTCGTGCTCGATTTTTGTAATATTTTTTACTGTGAAAATATTGTAGGGTAGTTCCATGGGTAGTCAACCAAAATATTACAAAGTATTCAAAAAGTTTTCTTTCGTATCAGATTTGCCGACCTTGTTCCGCTGATCATTTTAGTAAAAAAACTTTTTGAATTTCATTGAGAAATGACGATGTTATACTCAAAATAGTAAACGTTGTAAAACCGCTTAAAATGTAAGGAAAAGTCGATTCACATATCTCAAAATGGCTATATTCTGGAGAAATGTGACATGGTAGATTTTGTAGAGGAAAATTTGCTCTACAAAACCCTATAGTCGGTTTCTCAGATAAAGGCGAATAAGATGGATAAATCTCGATTGAACATTGTATACGATATTCCTATCACAAAAAAAGTCTGACATCTTCTGTTTTGACAATAGATAATTTGACTATAACATCATCATTTCTCAATGAAATGCGAAAAGTTTTCTTACCAAAATGATCAGCAAAAATAGCTCTACAAAGTCTGATACGAAAGAAAATTTTCTGAACACTTTATGATTTTTTGGTTGACTACCAATGGAACTATCCTGCAACACTGAGTACGAAAATTTATGTTTTCAATCTTCTCGATGCATTTCACCACCAGTTTTAGCTAGAGAGCTGAAACTTTCAGAAATAAAAGATCTTCATTAGATAAGTATATGATAAAAATTTCAGCCTTCTACGTCGAGAAAAAATATGAAAAATATCATTAACAATTTATCGTCAGTTATTATGAAATACCCTTTATATTAAAAATTTTTTTAAGCCATTTTTCTGAGATAAAAAGTTTAAAAAAATACTTGGAAAATGCTAAAATATGTCAAAAAACACATTTTTTTATATGGAAGAAAAACACTCGACTTTTCAATAAAATGAGCTTTTTTCGTTATTTTTGTGAAACACGATCTAAAGGCCTCCAGACGTTTCGTCGCTATCATTTCGAGCATCCGTCTTTGACATAGGATGTTCGGAATTGACGTTTTAGCCTTCAACGGATGTTCGGAATAAAATCTAACGGATGTCCGTAGCCAATAAAACGGATATTCGGAATTGAAATTTTAATCCACCGATGGGTGTTCGCAAAGAAATCTAACGGATGATCGGAATGAATTATGTCACATGACAGAGTTACAAAAGATAGATGTTCATAAAAGAAATTATTGATTGTTCGCAACGCAAACACAGGAATGTTCGAGACAAAACAAATGGTATTCAGAACAGACTTAGATATAGATATGTAGAGAAAGGAGAACAGGTCTCATAATCTAAAAGTAAAAACTCGAAAAAACTGCTGATATTAGTCATATCCATGAACAGCCAACAAAAATGCAAGTTTGCCTTCAATCTATTGATAGTTGATTATTTACTTGGCGATTGTATTCATAGGTCAGTTTTTTCCTTGTTTCGGCGATGGCGATGTGACGTACAAATTTATACCCACCTAACATAACGCTATACAACTTGCTCCACTTGTATACTTCACTCATTCATCATCAGTCACGCATCTATGTGTTCAGTTGATTCGCAGTTTTTTCGTTTCTAGAGTTTTACTTTGGTCTTTCAACGTAAAGACTGTGCTATACCCTTGAGTTTATCTCAATCTTTAATAAAATGCCGTGTGTTGTTCGACCATGTAGAGGTTCTGTCTCGACTCGACTACTTCTATTCACCCTACTTTTTCAAAACAAACTGTGCGATTTACTTCGTCAAAATCGACTGTCAGTTCTGCCTCCTGCACATTGAGTAAAACAAAATTGAAAACTAGTATTGTCACAAAACAACAGCAGCAGCAAAGAGTGAATGTTAAACTGTAGCGGCGACTCTTTTCGTTCATTAACTGTATATAGTTTTGTGATATTTAATTGAAAAGTTTATTCTCTCTTTTTTAAAATATCTATCGCTAAAAAGCTTGTCTCTACTCGTTTGTGTCTAGAGAAGAACAACTGATAGAGATTTACTGTTTTTTGTTATTTATTTGTTATTGAAATGTCTCTCTATTTCTGCAATTGTATTTCTTAAGGGTTCCACTTTGTATCTGTAAATATTGTGTTTTGTTCAATAAAACATTTATTTCTGATATTCAAAAGACGAAGCAAATAGACATACTAGAGGCTTTTGATAGTGAAGTAGTTCTTGCTGAGCCACCTCCAATAAGAGTGAATAGAAGTTTGTAATTCAGTACACAGTTTCACATCTGTAACTATGTGTCTAACATACTATATATTATGCTACAAAAGGGAGAGCATTCCGAACATTGGTTGACTAGAACTAAAGTGTTGCATTAATAAAAGAAGCAGATCTTAGTTCCGAACATCCCTCCTTCTCTATTCTGAACTCTCGTATAAAGTTTTACGAACATCCATCTATTGCCATTCCGAACATCCTTAATTTTCATTACTAGCACCAGTAGTTTTTTTTACGAACGTCCGTTAAAATTAGGCAGTTCCCAAACAGAAATGTGTGTGTGTCGTTGCATTCCGACCACCCGTGTTTTTTCGATGATCGTTCCGAACACCCGTATTTTTCTAATTACGAACATCCGATATTTTTATATAAAAATGATGATTTTTGAAGAAAAACGGATGTTCGGAACGGACAGCGGCATTGGATGTTCGGAACGGACAGCGGCATTGGATGTTCGGAATGAAAAGTAACGACGAAACGTCAAAATGCCATCATTCTACCTCGAGGGTGTGGGGTGAGGGTGTTGATGAAGAACGTTTAGCTCTATATATATTACATGAACTTCGTCTTTGTCCTGAACATGTTGAAACTCGACCACTTTTTAATCCATTACAACCATTAATTGAACGAGGTCGTTTGGAATTATTTGTTGATATATTTCCAAAATCACAAGGATCACCGGGATCTTCATTTACAATTACATCACGAAAACCTAAACCGTAAGAATTATATTTTATTTCAAATGCGATATTCTCTTTTATTTATTTTAGTTATGTTCTTCGTTGTATTATTTGGAATACAAATGATGTTATATTACAAGAAACATCGATAACAGGAGAAAAAATGTCTGACATTTATGTTAAAGGATGGATGAGTGGTATTGAAGATGATGTACAAAAAACGGATATACATTATCGGTTTGTTTAATTGATTTATTTTTAAATAAAAATTTTTGTTTTATTTAAAATTTGATCATTGGATGGTGAAGAAAATTTTAATTGGCGTTTTGTTTATGATTTTGCATATGTACCAGCTGAAAGATGTATTTCAGTTAAAAAGAAAGAACATTTTTGGAGTTATGATGCAACAGAATTAACAATTTCACCTGTATTAAATTTACGAGCTTGGGATAATGATAAATTTAGTGCTGATGATTTTCTTGGTAAATTTTTTGTTTTGTTATGTTGAATTTTTTAAAATTGTTTTTTTTTAAGGCGCATTAACATTGGATTTAAATCGTTTATATAAACCAGCAAAAGATTCGGATTTTTGTACGTTGGGTATATTAAATGATGATGCATCAAGTTGTATTTCATTATTTGAAAAGAAAGGAGTCAAAGGTTGGTGGCCATGTGTTAATGTTGAAGGTGAAGATCTTGAATTAACGGTAAGTTTTTTTCTCGTATTTATTTTTGATTGTTAACGAAAAAAAAAATATTTTTAGGGAAAAATTGAACTTGAACTTGAAATATTAACTGAAGAAGAAGCTCATGCAAGACCAGCAGGACGTGGCCGAGAAGAACCAAATAAAAATCCTATTGTTAATGATGGTGTTGTTGGAGCACAACGAAATTGTTCAAGTGATTTAATAACATGAAAACCAACAATTGGTTTCCGTCCAAATGATCGATTATCTTTTACTTTAATATTCATTGGGGGAGCATAGAGATCTTCTTTTGATAACATCCATTTATAAAATAAATATTTAAAAACAAAATGTTTTGTTTTCTTTCTAATAAAAATGATAACATACAACATCAAGAAATAATAATGATTTATCAAAATTTGGTGTTTTTTTTAACATTTTTAATAATAGTTGATTCAATTTCATGTTCAGCAACTTCAAAGCAACTTGTGGACAATCAACATCAGATAACATAAATGTTTTCATATTTCGAATACCCAACAAAGAATCTAGAAAAACAAAATAGATGAACTTTTCCAAAAAAACGTTTTTTTAAATAATCAAACCTCAATTCCAGTTCGAACAAGTTGAGGTCGAATTGTTTGTGGTACAGTAAATAATGAATCCACGTTTTGGTGAATGTGGTGGCATTTTTTTTCTCACTCTCAGTTTCAGGTAACTAAATAAAACAAAAATTATTAAATGAATTTTTTTTTAAAATTCACATATTTACTAAGAAAAGTTCAAAAGCAGCTAATAATTCTCCAGCATCATCTTTTCCTCGTTTAACTGGAAACCATTTTAATTTAATTGTTGGTTTTGTTTCATCCGGTACTAAACGAACAATAGGTGGACATTGTACACGACCAAGAAAATCCGGACTTCCCTAAATAGAATTATATTTTAGATAAAAAAGACTTAAGTTTCTTTTTATGAATTACATATTGATCTTTATCAAATAATTCAATTAGAATATTTGGTCGATCATGATGAATTTCATCAGGTTCACCATAAAGTTCAACATTTGAAAAGATTAATGTCTAGCGAAAAAACAAATTTAATAGAAGAAAGACAAAAGAAAGAGATTTGAATTTACTTGATCCCATGTTGGACATAATATTTTTTGTATAACTTCAGTACGTTGACTTTGATTAATAAAACCAATTTGTGCATATGGATCAGAAAAACTATCATTATCCATTGATAAAAGATTTCTTGCTTGATATATATATATATATATATATATACACGAGGGGAGAAAAATAGTGATAGTCGGTATTTTAGATATATTGACACTATAAATGGGCACTTTTAAAAAAGTAACGGCATATTCTGAAAGCCCGTGGAGTTTTCTATTATTCTATGTATTTAGGTTATAGTTTGTACCTTTATATCATTAAGATAAATTGAATACAATGAAGGCACCCTCATGTCCAGATTCCCACAGACTTGAATTTTTCATAGCAGGCAAAATAACTTTTTAAGGTTTTTTATTACTATAGAATTATCTTTTTAAAGAAGCAATCATATATTCTGATAGAGCTTGAAATTCTCTATCTTTCTATATATTTATCTTCTTTCTTATATCTATGTATTGTTAAAATAATTTGAGGACAATGAAGAAATCCTCAATCGACAACAACAAAAATTCGGTGTATTGTATATTTTTTCAAACTATGGATACACAGAAAATAATGTTTTTCAAAAGTAATTATATATTCTGATAGAGCTTGAAATTCTCTATCATCCTACATATTTTCATCTTATCTTATAGCTATATGCCGCATAATAATTGGAGTAATATTTAAATGACCTTGTTCATCAACCCTAAATTTGATGGAGAAAATCACAAAAAAATACGCAAAAATCTGTGGATTTTTTTGTTGTTGTCGATTGAGGATTTCTTCATTGTCCTCAAATTATTTTAACAATACATAGATATAAGAAAGAAGATAAATATATAGAAAGATAGAGAATTTCAAGCTCTATCAGAATATATGATTGCTTCTTTAAAAAGTTAATTCTATAGTAATAAAAAACCTTAAAAAGTTATTTTGCCTGCTATGAAAAATTCAAGTCTGTGGGAATCTGGACATGAGGGTGCCTTCATTGTATTCAATTTATCTTAATGATATGAAGGTACAAACTATAACCTAAATACATAGAATAATAGAAAACTCCACGGGCTTTCAGAATATGCCGTTACTTTTTTAAAAGTGCCCATTTATAGTGTCAATATATCTAAAATACCGACTATCACTATTTTTTTCCCCCGTATATATGCATGAAGTTCATAAAAATATGCTTGTAAAAAAAAGAAGATATATCAAATTTTTATTATTTTAAAATTTTTACTTTTAAAACTAAGAAACATTCGTGGTGCATTTAATTCAATTTTAACTTTTTTAGTTGTTGTTGTTGGTGGTGATGAATCAAATTGTTGATCTGTTTTAACTGATGAATCAGTTATTGATGGAACTTGTGATTCCATTCGAAAAACAATATCTGTATTAGCAACAAATCCTCCTGTTGATGTCATATGCGTTTGTTCAGCTGATGGAACCATTTTTCTATGACATCGTCGACAACGTGTCATATCCATATTTCGTTCATCAGCATGAAACTTCATATTAAACATTGGTGCATATTCCCATCCTTCATTTTTTAAATCATCTTGACCATCTTTTTTCTCTGCAAAAGAAAACAAAATATTTATTAATAAAATTGAAAACATGTGTATGTGAGATTTTTCTTTAGTTCTAAATCTAAAGGTTAATCTAAAACCCACTTTTGTCTCATCAGTTGAGATAAGTAAAGGTGTATTTTCATCAGATGTATCAAATAAAAATAAATTTCCCTGAAGATATATATTTATTAATAAACAAAATAAAATAAGAATAATTACTTTTTTTTTGTTCGGAGACTTTATCTCCTTTAACAACTCGTGTTCGATACCAACGACGTCGACGATTTAAATGAAATATTTTTTCAGTTGGACACCAACCACCAAGTGTTTGATTAACACAATATTCAAAAACTTCTTCATCAACAGCTCGATTAGCATCAATTGTCCATTCATCTTCCCATTCCCATCCTAATGGAGGTTCATTTCGTTCATCTTTACTTGAAACTTTATCACCAGCCTATTTATAAAAACAAAAACATATCTCAATAATAATAAAAAATCAAGTTTGTTTTTTCTTCGCTAACTAAATCAGTCCAAGAAGTTGCTTTTGGTTGCCATTGAGCACCAGCCATCAAACGATATTGATGTTCATAAATTTCTTCAGTAAATTTTCTATGTCCAGTATCATCTGAATATCGAATACTAACATAAAACAGATAAAAAGAATACGCAAATTCTAATGAATTTTATTAAATCGATTTAGCTTATTTCCGGACTAATATATCAATCACCTTCCCATCCCCATCCCGGTGGTAATTGAAAATCTTTTTTCGGTAAACTTATCTTTAAAAAAAAACAAACATTTTTTAATAAATAAAAATTCTTATACAAAAAACAAAAAGAAATCTTACACTTCCTGTAACATCCGACCAAGCTGGTCTACTCATTAACGGTTTTGTTGTTGTCCATTGTCCAAGCACATTTGTTTGATTTTCATGTGTTTCAGCATAAATAGCTAAATCAGCACCTTTTTGTTGTGATAACCAATTTTGTTCATGTATAGCTAAGCCTAACCAAATTTTAACACGAATTTCACCAGGAAGAAAATTTCTTTTATCTTTAGCAATATCAGTTTCTTTTCCAGGCCATTTTAATGTTATTGTTTGAACTTTTCCACAAAGACGACCACGACGATCAACATTTGGTGAATAAAATACTTCATTTGCTGGTAAACGATAATATGCGTAACGTTTACCATTTGATAATAACCAAATAATTACATCCGGTATACTATTTTGTAGCTAAAAAAAATAGAATAAAATTTTATTATTATTTTGTTTTTAATCTTAAAAAAATTTACTTCAGCTTCAAGGTATCCAAGACTTTCTTTAATATCATCTAATCTGTTAAGAATTTCTTGTGATGATTTAGCATGTAATTTTAATTCTTCTAATTTATTAATCATATCTAATAAATCTTTTAAACGCATTTGACGTCTTAAACGATCAAGTTCATTAACATGATGACGACCTGATTCTGGTTCAGGTAATGGTTTTCTATTAATACAAAATTCAATATTAAAAAAAACAAACTACTTCTTTTTTAATTAAAATCTTACTTTAAATGTCCAATAACCATATCAAGTGATTGTTTATAATGTCTAATAAGAATTTCATCCGATGTTTGTTTAACTTTTAATGATTCCAATGTTGACATAAGACCCATCTACAAAAAATCGATACACAAAAAGAACTAAATCGTTGATTTACGAATTAAACAAAAACATACAACAAATAATTTAAGTTTTAATAATTGATTCATAGCTTCTAAACGATATGTTACATCTTCCCCTTCACTTGCAACTTGTAAACATGGTTTCGTATGTCCCCATGGTAAAAAATTATAAGATGTTCCATCAAAAAACAGGATTTGTTGGTGGTGTTATTGAACTACTTGCATTTCCAACAAGATCATCAAATTTATTACTATAATTTCCAATACTTATTTCAAATTCAATCATTAATTCATGTTCATATAATATACAAGCATCAAGAAATGCAGCACGTAATTTATATTTTTTTCGTGATTGATATGGTAATGCACGAATTAAATCAGAATTTGATATATTACCAAAAGGTTCTGTTGGAGTTTCACCAAGAATTGTTTGTAATTCAACAAATCTTCGTCCACGATATGCAACACCTTCATCCTAGTTTTACATTTTTTTTAATGGATAGAAAGAAAAAGACAAAATCCTATTACTTTTCCAGTATTCAATTCATCTAATGCTGTTGGAATTTCTGAATATTCACGTGGTGCACCATATAAATTAATCCAACATGGACCAAATGTTGGAAGAAAGCCTTTCAAAAAAAAAATTATTTTAATAAACAAAAATTATTTTAATTATCTACCACGATCTTTATCTAATGTATCAATAATACCAACACCAACTATATCGCTATGCGTTAATCGATCCCTGTATTACCAAAGCAAAATATAAAATAATTTTTCTACTCTGCAAATTTTTTTTTCGTCTACAAAGCGAAACTA